CCGACCATGGCCACTGTGTTACCACAAGGCACATCCTCAACAGTTTCCTGTTTCTTTCCCATCCAAATAACAGTTCTCTGTACACTCTTGACATACAAATCTTTCTTTCACCAGGTACATAGTTTGGACCCATGATCCTGACCTTCAAACCAGTTGAAACTTTGCCAGAGAAGACACGACTAAAGGCGAAGAACCTGCCCTTATCAGAAGCAGGAATCATCTTTGAAACATAGAGCATAAGAGGACCCTCGGGATCACAGTTCCTGATAGCATTGGCATAGACATCATCAAGTGGACCCTCATACAAGTTCTCAACACGATATCTCTGAGCCTTGCTTGGAGAGGGAAGGTGAAAGATCATCATTTCCAGGAGAGCACTGCTTGCCGGAAGCCAAGTTTGCATTACACGCTTCATTAGGGCCTTCCCCATCAAGTCCTTCTCATCAGACTTCATGGTAACATTAAGTTTTTGCAACATTGGCCAGAGCTTATCCTTCTGGTCATTCATACAAGTGTTGATTATCTGCTTGATGGGTTCATAACAGAATTGAACAAAACCCCGCTTGCAGGTAGCAGTGCCAGTGTTCTTGGTGGTCCACTTCTTGGTAGCTGGATCAAAAAAGTTATCGCCCCAAAGTCTTTCCATCATTTTTGACTCATCAACTCCAAACTTTGAGGCATACATTTTAGCAAAATTGGTCAAGGTAAAAGCCCAACCGTGCAAACCAGCAGAGAAAGCAACTGTTCCCTTCTCAGGGTAGACCTGAACATCACCAAGAAGAGGATCTTCATAGGTAGCCATGATAACATTAGCATTTTCAATCACTCTTTGGAATGTCTGGTAAGCTTCTTCACCATCAACCTGGAGTTCAAGGAAGCACCTGTCCATCTTGTTAACAGTCAATACAGGCCTGATTCTTTCACCGAGAGCCTGACGGAGGATAGTCTCTGTTTGCACACAGACACCTTCAATACAGTCAACAACAACAAGGGCACCATCAGTAATACGAAGAGCAGCTGTGACCTCAGATGAAAAGTCAACGTGACCAGGGGAATCGATAAGATTGATCAGGTACTCATTTCCTTTTCTCTCTCCTTTGTAGCTCTTCAAAGAGTCATCAGACATATCATAATACAGAGAGATACCGGTAGACTTGATTGTGATACCGCGCTCGGCCTCATCAGCACGGGTATCTGTCATACGAACATCACCGGCAACTTCTTGTGCAATAATTCCAGCAGCAGCAACAAGAGAATCAGTAAGAGTTGATTTCCCTGCACATCACAAAAACTAGATGAGAACCAAGGCCAACACTTTAAAGAGGGACAAATAATTTGTAAAACTGGACGATCATCAACACCTGAAGAGTTGTTGCAGTGAAATGATTCTCAATCTGAGACTAACCTAGCATAAGTTTCATACATGTTTCATTTTCATATGACTGTAACTAGATTACCAATTAAAGGAAGCACCTGTCCATCTTGTTAACAGTCAATACAGGCCTGATTCTTTCACCGAGAGCCTGACGGAGGACAGTCTCTGTTTGCACACAGACACCTTCAATACAGTCAACAACAACAAGGGCGCCATCAGTAATACGAAGAGCAGCTGTGACCTCAGATGAAAAGTCAACGTGACCAGGGGAATCGATAAGATTGATCAGGTACATTTCCTTTTCTCTCTCCTTTGTAGCTCTTCAAAGAGTCATCAGACATATCATAATACAGAGAGATACCGGTAGACTTGATTGTGATACCGCGCTCAGCCTCATCAGCACGGGTATCTGTCATACGAACATCACCGGCAACTTCTTGTGCAATAATTCCAGCAGCAGCAACAAGAGAATCAGTAAGAGTTGATTTCCCTGCACATCACAAAAACTAGATGAGAACCAAGGCCAACACTTTAAAGAGGGACAAATAATTTGTAAAACTGGAAGATCATCAACACCTGAAGAGTTGTTGCAGTGAAATGATTCTCAATCTGAGACTAACCTAGCATAAGTTTCATACATGTTTCATTTTCATATGACTGTAACTAGATTACCAATTAAAGGAAGCACCTGTCCATCTTGTTAACAGTCAATACAGGCCTGATTCTTTCACCGAGAGCCTGACGGAGGACAGTCTCTGTTTGCACACAGACACCTTCAATACAGTCAACAACAACAAGGGCGCCATCAGTAATACGAAGAGCAGCTGTGACCTCAGATGAAAAGTCAACGTGACCAGGGGAATCGATAAGATTGATCAGGTACTCATTTCCTTTTCTCTCTCCTTTGTAGCTCTTCAAAGAGTCATCAGACATTTCATAATACAGAGAGATACCGGTAGACTTGATTGTGATACCGCGCTCGGCCTCATCAGCACGGGTATCTGTCATACGAACATCACCGGCAACTTCTTGTGCAATAATTCCAGCAGCAGCAACAAGAGAATCAGTAAGAGTTGATTTCCCTGCACATCACAAAAACTAGATGAGAACCAAGGCCAACACTTTAAAGAGGGACAAATAATTTGTAAAACTGGACGATCACCAACACCTGAAGAGTTGTTGCAGTGAAATGATTCTCAATCTGAGACTAACCTAGCATAAGTTTCATACATGTTTCATTTTCATATGACTGTAACTAGATTACCAATTAAATCCAACACGGCTGAAAAATTATAAAAAGAACTCATAAACACCAATAAATTGAAGTACAAAATCAGTCAAACAAGCTATAATAATTTTAAAGTCAAGTGCAAACAGGAATGGAAACAATCTTACCGTGGTCCACATGGGCAATAACAGACATGTTACGGATGTTGTGCTTTCGGTCCATAATGGCCCGAAGCTCCTCAGCTGTAAACTTCACCTGTAACACGTCCAAAATCATCTCAAATCAAATGGAAATCCCACAAAAAAGGAAACCAAACAAAAAATCAGCAAAAAAGAAACAAACTCCCCCGTCAACTCACCATCTTGGCTTGTTTTTAAGAAAGGAATCAAAACCTGCGCAGCGAACAAAGCACATAAGTTCTCCTGATCCAAAAAGTATAAATTCAAAGTACGAACAAAAGAAGCTTAATCTCAAATACACATCTCCATCCATAAAATAGTAGAATATTCTGAGATCTGAAATAATATTACCTATTTAAAGATGATAAAAAAAACTTCCAACCATATAATTTAGAGCTACGTAACTACATGATTTACTAAGTAAACAGACTCATATTTCATCTAACGAAATGAAAATCAAAATCAGGATCTAAGATCAGAACAATAAGAAATGAGAATACTTGGATCTAAACGTAAATAGATCTTAATAACATATGAGAGAGGAAATGAGCGAACCTGAGAGAGAAAAGCGTCAATAGAGAGACAGGAAGTTATTGATGCAGAGACTCTCCCTCGAAATGAGTGGAAAGAGTGTGAGCGAAGATATAAGCTCAGCTCGGCTAGGGTTTTTCACTTTCTCGGATTTGGGCTTTGTTTTCGTGGACTTTTTTGATTCTGATAGACGGTAGCGGTACAAAGCATCTAAAACATATCTTTGACTTCTGAGAAGGGATAAAATAACGTTTAGTCCTTAAACTTCACAACTATTCCCAATTTATTCTTTTAATATTTTTGTCTGCATTGATCTAAAAATTTGGTAATTTCTTTATTTAATTTTTTTTTATGATTTTTACTATCAGATTATATCATGTAATACAATATAGTTTCATATCATTAAAATATTATTCAAACTTAAGGACGAACATGGATACAAAAAATGTAGACACCATGTTGTAAAAAGTTGTTTACTTCCATCTTTATAGATACTTTTTTTAAGTATAAAGGCTAAACTATCCATAACTGTAATCTTTGAACAAGAGAAAATTACATGTGTACTTACAATTATAGTCTCTTGAATATTATAACAATAACAGCATTAATGTAGTTAATTCTTAAAGTGTCACACTAGAGTACGAGAACAATTCAGAAACCAAAGTCCTTAGTACAGAGGCAACGGCAGCTCCTTCTTAGTCTCAGATGGTGTCATGGTGATTGATTTTTTTGTAATCATCTCTTCTTAAAACCATATTTCTTGCGTTCATAGAACAAGTCGATTCTGGCGCTGCCTAGGTTGACGATTTTGGGGCAGACATCTCGATCCTTCTCTAGTTGAGTACACTCTTTGCAGTAGTATGCATCAGATATTCCCGGTCCTCTACAACTGAATCATCTACCCTGCAACCATCCATAGTTGCATTCGTCACATACCTGCACAAGCGTGCAAGGTCGCACCAAAGAGCCGCAGATTACGCACTTACCGTCACATTTCTCGAAAAGCCATCCGATGGCAAAACCTGGTTGTTTCCGGCACATGACAAAATCAGGATGGTGCTTGGTCATTGAAGTAATCAACACCACCTTCCCCTATATATATGTAATACAAATTATAAATTCAAAAAAAATCTATCAAAAATGCAAAGAAAAGAAAAGAAAAGAAAAGGGAAGAGCCCACCAGAAAATAATGAGAAAATACATGTGTGCTTGTTTTCCTCTCATTTCTTATAGGCACTGCTCCATTGGTTGCTTGCCCTCCACGTTACTTTGTATTATTTTTAAAACTTAAAACTAGTCTTATAAAAACATTAAAATAAAATAAATTCAACGAAAGAAAGTAAAAGAATATACCTTACCCGCCAAGTTTTGACTTTTGAGAAGATATTTAATTTATTTATTTTTTTATAAATTTAGATGTTGCAAATAATAATTATTAGAGTTAGATATAGATATTAATACAAAAACACTAAAGGGCCGTTTAACACTAGATGTAGAAATGGAAGGAAGTAATATCTTAACAAACCCATCATTTTATTAAATTTCATGCAAAAGAAACATAAAGGGAGACTTAAGAGCACTGTAAAGTCCAGGAATCATTAAAGATTATTCATGACATGTAAACGTAAGAGTAGCATTGTACGTAGAAGGAAAAGAGAAAGAGATGGGGCTTCATCACCAACAGTTTTCATGCGCAAGTGTAGACGTCGGGGTTCCTGCCGCAATACGTCATGAAGAGCCTCTTCACATAGTCAAGGTCGGCAGGAATTCTGGAGCTATTGGCTTTCAAGATCTGGCACATGCAAGTGGCTGCATCGGCATCGTTCAGACCCTGAAACTGTTTGCAGCATTCACTGTTAGGATTTGGTCTCGCCCAAGAGAACGCCGCTCTCAGAGCTGATTCACATGAACCCAGATTTTGAGGACACGCTGGAGGAGTTTGAGAGCTAACCAAAGTGAAAAAAACAAGGTTGAGGGAAACAAGGAAGACAGCTGATGCTGAACCCATTTTTCCAAGACAGCCGTATTGGATTAATACTTGTATAAGGTGTGAGAGAGCTAGGGTTGCATGAACTGAGGGTTTATACAAGGATAGTGCTGACTCCAGGAGCCACTATTAATTAGGGTAAATTATATAATTGGTCCAAAAAATCCTTTTAATTTAAACATCGTTGTTACAAAAATCTTTTACTCCTGTGGGCTAAATTTTAGTTTAACTGTGTGTCTAAATAGTAAATATATTAGATAGATTCGGCTCATCATGTCATCCTTGGTCCTAGTTAATATAATACATCCATTTTATTTTTTTTCAAGGTGAATCTTCACATCTTTCATATATGTAAATAAGAAGTATATTGTTATTTGGAAGTTATTTTCAGATGAATGAATTTTATTAGTTAAAATCACGGATAGTGTGGTGAGCCGGATCTATATAATAATTTATCATCTAAATGACAATTATTTGAATGATTATTATTAAATTAAACAGTTTTTCATCACCAAAAGTAATTTATCTTTATTATTATTATTTTACAATAGGTTATTAATAATAATATTTCATTTGATATTTTTTTTTATATTTTCTACTGATGATCAATTGTAATCGTAAAAAATTATAATTTTTTTATTTTTAAATTATTAATATAATTTTTTAAAAGTATAAATTCTAACATAAAATTTTACATGATTTTTTTATCTAATTCTATAGACTGAAATAAAACTCTCACATGCAAGTTGATTTTTTATTTAGAACTTAGACAATTATTAAATGCTATTTCTATAAGAATTTATAGTCAACGCATTTTATATGTTTATTTTTTATTTCATTAAATAATTTATTCTATACATTATCTTTGTAATCTTTTAATCGAATGAAAATATCTAAATGACGTTGAATGTTAATTTATCTATTTTATACAGTTAAATCTCTGATTATATTATTATAAAATGTCATTAAAAGTGAGTTTTTTAGTTGTTTTCTCGTTCAAAGTGATGCTTTAGCCTTTTTTTATTTTCTTTTTTAGTTTTAATTTTTATTAATTTAGGTATAGATAAATACCATTCTTGTTTTAATTTTTTATTTTGTATATTCTTAAAGTGTAACAACCCGAATATTTACAAAATAATATTTAATTGAAATTGGACGTTAATTGCGCAAAATTGGTGAAATTTAATGACTGAACTAAAATTTATGAAAAGTTATAGGCCATTTTATAAGTTGAAGGAAATTCAGGGACCAAGCCCTGAATTCCTCCAAGGAGTGTCGGCAGGCTTATAATTTAAGCGTGGTTTCTGATTGTAAATCAAAAAAGCATAATTGAGAATTTGCTCAATTTTCCTTCTCTCGTACCCTTACTTCCAAGCCCGATTCCGACGCCGTTCGACGTCCAATCGTAAAATTGAAACCACCGTCGTGTTCATCTTCAACCATTGAACAAAACCCAGTAAATCAATTATAGCGAAACGCTGCCAAACGTCGGGAATTTACAGTCAAAGCATCGACGTTTTTTTTAACTCTATCGCCGGGAAAATCTTAAATTCACCGCCGATCGTTGCTCTGTTTACGACACCTCCTGCACCATCGTGTTCCTTGTGTCGTTGCGAGTCCTCCGGTGTCAACCTTTTTCGCCGTTGACGGCGGCGCGTGAGGAGGTGGAGCAGTCAAAGATTCGGCCGAGTTGGAATACGAGCTCTCCGCCGTTCAAAAATTTGAACCGATCGTTGTAAGTATCTCGAAATCGCTCAAAATAATTTTTAGAAATTTTTCCGGGAATTTTCCGACACCGTGGAACTGTTCACGCGCCGCACGCGCCGCCGCAGGGAGAGTGAGCTGCTGGAAAACCGGTTTGACCAGTTTTGAACCGGTTTGACCGGTCTGGACCGGTTTGACCGGTCTGACCCGACCCGTCTGACCCGACCCGACTGTTGACCCGACCCGACCCGACCGTTGGCCCGACCCGACCGTTGACCGTTGACCGTTGACCGTTGACTGTTGATCGTTGACTTTCTTTGACCAAAACTTAAAATGTCTTTGACCGAGCATTAAACGACCGTTAATCTTTTTCGAGTATACCTATCCTGATAGTTTTCGACGTGCCGAATCCGTTTCCGCTGTCCGTTTTGTCAAATTCGAACCCAAAGGCCTCCGAATCGACGGTCAAAGTGGTTGACTTTGACTTTGACCAAGAATCTGAATTTTTTGAAAGTCAAACTTTATGTTTTTCGACGTCCTGATTCCGATTACGCAATCCGTTTGGCCAAATTCAGACTCGAAATACCCCAAAATGATAGTCAAACCCGAAAAATGCTTATATACTTAAGAATTCTAGTTTTGAACAATTAATTAAGATTTGGGGCTGATAGATTATTATTGTTTGAAGGTACAAGAGACTCTCCGGATCGTTCGACAGCTCGACCCAGCTCTTCTAGATCAGTTAAACCACGTGTGCCAGTATTCACCCGTTCGAAAATTGTAGCAGAGCGTGGTGAAACCAGCAATCAGTAAATTTGCTATTTGAACCTATTGTCGAGGTGTGTTCCCTACTTATTATTGAATTGTTTTATTGGTTTTAATATGTGGTACACCGAATTCATTGGCTATTGTTTTATGGATGCACCAATTTAATGTGACAATTTATGGAATATGGCTGCTATCTAATTTTTGTTTTGAAATGGTATATGATTACCATGTTTTTGGATTTGTGGAATTTATGTCACGGTGCAATTGAATTTTGGAATTTAAATACGATGGAATAGCTCTGATCAAGCTAACTGGGCCTAATGTGACTCTTGAGGGCCCCAAGATGTTTCATTAGGTCGGCTTTCCTTTGTTGTGTGCTTAGGGTAAGCTATATGGACTTATTGACTTGGGCTTAAGGATACAAGCTTCATAGCCTATCCTTAAGTCGGCTTTCTTGTTGTTATGTGCATAAAGTAAGCTATATGGAAAATAATTTTGGGAACTACTGATGGTGTACCAGAAAAGTGTTTAAACTATGATTTGCAAAAGTTAAACTCTTTTACGAATTTATGAGATTACTGGACTATGATTTGTACCTATTGTGATTTTATGGAAATGTTGGGACACACTGAGCCTAGCTCACCTTTCGAAAATGTTTTCCCCTTTCAGATACCGTTGGTTAGATACCTCGGTTCGAGCACTTGGAGGATCAACATATCTCTTGAAGTATATTTGATTGTAATGTTTTTACCTTGCAAGTTGACTTTATTTTGTTGACATGTACCTTATTTTAAAGTATGGGATTTAATATGATGACACTTTTGCTATTACTATTCGGTTTATCGTGATTTGATTTTTAAGATATGTTTTAAATTAATTTATTACCTATTGGTATTATATTTACAAGTTGGGTTTTGATAGTATGATTTATTATAATTTCATGTCATTTATAATGTGATTTTACATTGATTTAATAACGGTTTCGGAAAAATGTCTTTAAGAATCATAATGTGATCCACTAGACTTAGTCGAAACGCATAGGCAGGGTCTAGGGGGTTACATTTATTGGTATCAGAGCTTTTGGTTTTTAACCCTCGGACTGTGTATGAGTCCACATTGAAAATACGTTTTTGAAATATTTTACAAAACAAGATACAAAGGTCATGTCACAAAGTTATTAAAATTTTTAACTGTGTTCGAGACTCCAAGTGCTTATCTAACCCTAAGTTTTATCTTCTGTAGTAATCTCGAGATCCACCAAAATGAGTGCTAGACGTGGTCGTCGAACTAGCCGTGGACGAGGTCGTGTGGCTAGATTTGCAGATCCGATTGATGAGATACGAGTAGATCCCCCACCTCCTATAGGGTGATCCTACTCCTATGACCCCAACGAATATGCCACCTACCGATGGTATTGGCATGACTACACCGATCATAGGAGCGACCGATATTGATTCAGAGTCTACTGGAATTGCATTGGATGAGAATTTTAGTAGATAGTTTCTGCAGTTAATACAGGGAGCAGTCAGAGCTACTGGTGTTGTATCTGAGGTTCATATTTCACAGACGTTGATTGCCAATGGAGTTAGAACTTTTAGGGGACAGATTGGTGGAGCTCCTACTGAAGCTGAGGATTGGCTCCAAGATACAGAGAGACGCATGGATCAGTTGGGATTGGACTCAACTAAAGAGATATCTGGGTGCTGTGGCAATGTTAGATGGTAATGCCTACACTTGGTGGGAGTCAGTGACCAGTAGTGTTCCTACCGATCGTTTGACCTGGAATTTCTTTAAGGATCGCTTTCGGAGCCGTTTTCTGGGAGAGCGTTACTTAGCTCAGAGACGACAACAGTTTCAAGACCTGGTTCAGGGAGACATGACCGTTTCTGAGTATGAGATCGAATTCTTGAAGTTGTTGAAGTATGGATCCAGTATAATACCTACTGAGAGAGATCGATGTCGTAAATTTGCCCTTGGACTCAGATACGAGCTGCGTAGGCAAGTTGTAACCCATCAGGATGAGATATTTGATGTGCTGGTGGGCAGAGCCAAAGATGCGGAAGAGGTTGAGGTTTTAGCTACTTGTAGAGAGCGTGTTGATCAAGAACGATCTAAGAAATTTTCAGGTCCTGTTGAGTCATCAGCACAGTCAGGGAAGAGGACTCGTACTTTGGCACCTCAAAGAAGCAATACACGTTTCAAGCCTGCAACATCCTCACCATTAGCTGTCAGTCGAGGCGGTTCCTCGTCGTATTATAAAGGGCCCATTTGTGAGTATTGTGGTAAACAACACACATGAGAGTGTCGAAAGAAGATGGGTCTTTGCTATCAGTGTGGATCTAGTGGTCATTATCGGAGGGATTGTCCTTAGCTAACTTCATCTGAGCAGACCGCTATCCAGACTCCTGTGCGATCGCAGACTACAGTACAGACCCCGATTAGAGATCGTAGTCAAGGAAAGGCTCGAGGATCAGCGTCCAGGACAGACAGTAGAGCACGACCTCAATAAAATAGAGGGCCAACAGTTTCTGAGGCTAGACAACCAGCTT